CACTCGGAAGAGGAAGGCTTTGCTATGGATGATGAGGATTCGGATGGGGACCTGAATACCTGGGAGCTGTCAGAAGGGGTATCCGACTGTCCGCCCAAGGAACAGGCTGCTGATCTTTTTAACGAGGACTGGGACTTGGAGTTGAAGGCAGATCAAGGGAATCCGTATGGTAGGTGTGGCGTTTCTGGGGTCCCAGACCAAGGTTCGGAGACCCTCCTACCAAATTACCCCAAAGGCAGACAGTTTGGAAGACGGACTCAATCTCTGAGCTTAGCCTGATACCTGTTACAGGGCTGAAATGTCTGTGACAGCTTCTCTTTCATATTGGGAAAAAAATGCAAATTTTGTAGTTGACTCTCTTAAAATATCTGTGTGAATCTAGCAGCTGCAGAGAGAAGTGCTGTCTTATGCAGTTGCGGTCTCTGCACTGCTAAGGGCCCTCCCCTGAGAAGCACCAGTCGGGGGTGCCTCAGAACACACGCGTTTGCAGTCCAAGGAGGGCTCTGTGTGTGTGCTTTTGAACTGCAAGTCCCCTAGACACTTTGTGGATGTCTCCCCTCCCCTCCTACCTTTAATCTGTTTTTTTTTTTTTTAAACTGCTTGCAGATGCCGATGACATCCAGGGTTGCATTTCTCAAGATGTCAAACCTTGGGTGTGCTGTGCCCCGCAAGGAGACATGATCTATGACCCCAGTTGGCACCATCCGCCCCCGCTGATACCCCATTATTCCAAGATGGTCTTCGAAACAGGACAGTTTGATGATGCTGAGGATTGAGTCTGCAGCTTCTTGCCTGGTGGGTGGGCCTGCCCTCCAGATGAAGGTCTCTCTTCCTTTCATTGAGGTGAGAGGTCACATTTGAGGACCCATTCCCAGCGGTCCCGGAGTCGGGAACATAGACTGGTGTTAACTAAGACCCCAGTGTCCTCCAGTTCTGTTGTTGTTGTTGTTTTTAGTGAGCTCCTCCTTGGGACATGTGAGTGTTTGTGTCTGTGTCAGGAGGAGTTGTGTTCTTTATAAATAAAGGTAGAAAAAATTTGATACGCTTTTGTTTACTCCCCCCCCCCCCCCCCCCTTAATTGGATACTTACCAGCAAAGCTTTACTCCTTCAGTTCAAGTCCCTGGCTTACATTTTAAGGATTGGAGGTACTTGGACCCTTAAAACTACTCTGTGAAAGAAAATAATTTTTTGGCCAGAGATTAGAATCCAAGAAATGTTGGTGACTTTGTGGCTGATTTCTATTCCTGCTAATGAAAAATTGACCATTTACTTAGTAAACAAGCAAGCTGGAACATGAAATGGCAAATAAATTAAACCAATTATATAGCCCTCAACTGGTATGAAAGGATTTTGAACCTTATTTTCTTTTTTTTAACCTTATTTTCCATTTAATTATTTGCTCTTTATAATTATTATATGAAGTCACGATTTTTTTAAATTGCCCTATTTTATTTTATTTTTTAAAGATTTTATTTGTAAATAATCTCTACACCCGGGGCACCTGGGTGGCTCAGTTGGTTGGGCGACTGCCTTCAGCTCGGGTCATGGTCCCGGGATCCTGGGATCGAGCCCCGCATCGGGCTCCCTGCTCAGCGGGAGGCCTGCTTCTCTCCAACTCCCCCTGCTTGTGTTCCCGCTCTCGCTGTCTCTCTCTCTCTCTCTCTCTCTCTCAAATAAATAAATAAATAAAATCTTAAAAAAAAAAAAATCTCTACACCCAATGTGGAGCTTGAACTCACAACCCCAAGATCAAGAGTTGCATACTCCCCCTGATTGAGCCAACCAGGCGCCCTGAAATTGTGTCATTTTCGAGGTGAGGAAAAAAAGACTCAAAATGTTTTGACTTCTGCAAGATCCCAGAGCCAGGAAATGGCAGAGCTATGCCCTAACCCCACACGTGACTCTGAGGTCAGCTTTCCTTGGCTGCCCACCCCCTTGTGAGTACAAGCCTAGAGGTGGGTTCTGGGGGCTGTGCCTTGGCAGGTCTGTGATGCACCAGACTAAGTCGCCTTTGCCTCTCTGGCAGGCTCAGGGATTGTTTCTTACCTCCCTGCCTCCCTCTTGAAGCTGAATCAAGAACAATTTCAGATCTGAAATCTGAGTCAACTCCATAGCTGTTAAATGAACATTTAACCATTTAAATGATTTTTCAGAGGCCCCACAAAGTGTGTGAGCAGGGCAGAACCTTATGAGGCAAAGCGGTGGCTTTCGCTGTGAGGGGCCTCATGACCCAAACTACCCTGGGAAGAAAAAATATCCCCCTCCACCATCCTTGCTAAAGGGACAGTCATAGACCATATCACCACACTGCTCTGTCTTTCCTCCTCCTCCCAGTGCCAGAGCTGATTAGATCGGTGCGAAAATGAGCATTTCTGGTGTGAAAAGGTGAACTTGAGAAACTGAGCCAAGGAATGTCGGGGGCTTCAGGAGGACGGCAGAACCGCAGAATGCAAGGCTGTGCCGTTGACAGGCTGTGTTGGCCCATGTGTAAGCTGGAGCAGTGAGGTAGCTGAAACTGAGTAAAACTGAATAAAGGCCCAAGTCGTAAGGTGGGAGAATATACGGATGTTGGAGGGTGGGAAGAAAACGTGGCACAGAAAGGCCATGTGTGTGAGAGGCTGAGCAAAGGAAGGTCACCAGGTCCTGCTGCTGTGATCCGAGGAGCAGCTGAGAATCTAGGACACTCTTGTTTTGTAGGAATTAATCTTTGCAGTTCCTCCTTCTGGTTGTTTCCAACAAAGTGGGTAGGAGGAGGGCAGTAGGGTCCACTGGAGGAAGGATGTCAAAAGTTGGGTATGTCGGGAGATCAAGAGAAGGAGGGAGCTTAGTCAATTGTGATTCAAATAGTGTTCTGGTGCCGGCCCCCCCCCCCCACATTGGGTGATCCAAGCACGGTAAGGATGTAGACGGTAACTCTCCAGGCTGTGAACATCGGTTATCTTGAGGGGGTGAGGTGGGAAGTAAGGGGAAGAAAGTAATGAAACTAATGATATAGTAAGTGAAGATACATACTATAAAACTGCTCTGATAATATTGTAAAGAGGAAAAAATTGCATATGCAAGTGATAAGGATTAACATGAACAAATGGAAACAATTTGATTCTGTGATGGAGTTGCAGGCAGTTTGTGTTCGTATTTTTTTAAAAAGATTTTATTTATTGGAGTGTGCGTGGGCGGCAGGGAGGGGCAGAGGGAGAGAGAGAGAATTTCAAGCAGACTCCATGCTGAGCGCAAAGCCCAGCGTGGGGCTCAGTCTCACCCTGAGATCATGACCTGAGCCGAAACCAAGAGTCGGACACTTAACCGGCCGAGTCACCCGGGCGCCCCTTGAACTTTTAAAAAGAAGAACTTTTAGAAAAGTCTTTGTGTTCGATTAGGGTTCAATTAGGATTCCTTTTCTATTTATTTATTTATTTTTTAAAGATTTTTTTATTTATTTACTTGACACAGAGAGAGAGACAGCTAGAGAGGGAACCCAAGCAGGGGGAGTGGGAGAGGGAGAAGCAGGCTTCCCGCGGAGCAGGGAGCCCGACGCGGGGCTCGATCCCAGGACTCTGGGATCATGACCTGAGCCAAAGGTAGACGCTTAACAACTGAGCCACCCAGGCGCCCCATCTATTTATTTATTTTTAAAAATACCGTAGAGCAATAGAACAGAGAGAAATGTCCAGAAGCAGGGAGTTTTCCAACTGTGCTTTAATCCAAAAGCCTTCAGTCAACGACCAGGTAAATTTTGTTCTCTCAAAACTAGAATGTGTATGACCAATGAGTTTGTAGGATAAATTATTGGATAGACAAAATTGTGGTTATTTAAAAAATAATTGAATAAGGGCGCCTGGGTGGCTCAGTTGGTTGGGCGACTGCCTTCGGCTCGGGTCATGATCCCGGACTCCCGGGATCGAGTCCCGCGTCGGGCTCCCTGCTCAGCGGGGAGCCTGCTTCTCCCTCTGACCCTCCCCCACCATGTACTCTCTCTCTCTCATTCTCGCTCTCTCAAATAAATAAATCTTTAAAAAAAATAATTGAATAAAAGGAAATATTGCAATGATTTCTAACCAGTGTCCTATAACGAAGAATTGCAATTTTTAGGTGTTCAAGAAAATGAAAACAAAACAAAACACCAACAAAACTTCTGTCTATTCAGATCTCTGAATGCCAAGCTGAGAAGTATCAATCTCATGGGGAGATGTGAACTTGGATGTTGCTTAGTTTGGCCTTGTACTATGTGTAGGAATCCTCTCTGCCCACTTCTAGTCATGGGGAGCTCACTACCTCAGAAGGGGCCCGTCCACTGCTGGCTAGTGCTCCTTGTTAGAAAATTCTCCCTTGTATTAAGTTGGAATCTACCCATTTGGTCCTGGTCTGCTCTGTGGTCCTTTCAAATATAGGAAATTAGCGATCTTATCCTCCCTCCCCTCTGGCTTTTTGCTTTCCAGCTAAATAGTCAGCAGACAATTGCGTATATGTGTCTGGAATCAGAAAGGGAGGGGGAGGGGAGGGAGGGGAGGGAATGTGGTGGGGATTTTTGAGGTTTTGGTAGGTGTTGTAGCATTGACAGAAGCCGAGTTTGTTCTGTGAGGGCTTGTAGTAAGCAGAGGGCCAAGGACAGGACCTTGCGGCACATTAGCAAAGAAAGGATCGATGACAGGATCGGATCCCAGAGCCAGGCTGTGGCAGGGAAGGAGGAGGAAAGCCAGGGGAATATAGGTGCCACACAAGCCAAATCTAAGAAGAAGAGAGTTTTAAGGAGGGGGGACGGTCATCTTTTATAGAGAGACACCAAGTAAGATGGAGGCTAAAAAGGGCTTTTTGGGATGTGGGAATTAGAAAGCGTTCATATAATGTACTGACTTGGAGCAGGTGCGGGGTGGGAGCATGGGCATTTCAGGCTTAAACATTTTGGGGGATGCATGAGGCCACTTGAGCTGCTGTCTTTGGCACTCTTGTTTTTCTTGCCGGGGGGGTGGGGTGGGGGTCGGGCAATGGTGCCTTCTAGCCAGCTTCTCTCAGGATGAGATGTGAGCCGGCCTGGGAGGAGTCTGCAGAAGTGGGCAGAAGCCGCTGGAGAAATGTAGGTGCTAAGGAACTGTTCGGAGGAACAAAAGAGAAGCTTTTATTCTGACATTTCTTGCAAGCAGTATCACTTGCCAAGAAAAGGATCACAACTGACCACAGCAAAAGTTTTGAGTGAGGGAAAGGAGAGTAAATACGTGTTTCTCAAGTGACCGGAGGACATTTGTGATACGCCTCTGTTTCTCTCACGCCCTCTCTCCATGCAGACATGCTGGTCATTGCCTTACTGGAGGCACGTGACGGGGTCAAAGACAACCAAGACATTTTTCTATCTTTTCTTTTAGAGAAAGCAACTTACTTTGTTTTTATATGTTTCTTTCTCTTTCCTTCCTTCCTTTTTTTTTTTTTTCCCCCACTTGTAAAGAGGCAAGGGGATTTTGGACCAAAAGACTATGTGTCTTGAAGAAATTTGGAGGGAAAGAATGATCTTCCGCCTCCCTCCCCCAAATCCCCTGGGTTGTGAGAAGAAGGATGGGAGAAGACATCGAGATCTGGGGGTGCTAAAAGCAGATGGAACAGGAGTCCTTCCTGGTGTGTCCCTGGGAGTTAGGTCCTCAGAGAGTGATAGATGTTGGTGCTTCTATTTTTTTTTTTTGTTAAGATTTTATTTATTTATTTGACAGAGAGAGCATAAGCAGGAGGAGTGGCAGAGGCAGGGAGCCTGATGCAGGGCTTGATCCCAGGACTCTGGGATCATGACTTGAGCTGAAGCCAGATGCTTTACTGACTGAACCACCCAGGCGCCCCGATGTTGGTGCTTGTAGGCAGTCAGGACCGTCTTGCAAAGGATGCCCAGGCCTTGAGCATGCAGAGAAACCAGTGGACCCAGAGCGGCCACAGGATAGGGAGAACCATTGAAGATGGACATGGGATGACCTGATGCCTACCGCCCTCATTTGCCTTGGCACTGCATGAGGAAGTAAGG